GTCGCCAGCGCGGCCCGCTGCTGCCCCGCGCGCTGCGTCGCCGCCCGCGCAGCCCGCTGCTGCCCCGCGCGTCACGTCTGCCGCCTGCGCAGCCCGCTGCTGCTCCGCTAGCTGCCTTAGGAGCGCGCGCGGCCTGCTGCTGCCTCGTGCGCCGCCTTAGGAGCTCGCGTGCCCCTCGTCACCCGCCTCCCTGACACTCTTAGCTCCGTCAGGGACCACTTCCTAGCCCTAGACCCTACCACTCTCACTGTCGCCAACTTCGAGAAGCACCTCCTAGCAGCAGAGAAGAACATCCTCGCTGTAGGTGCTGCTCGTGGTACTCCTCGTTCTCCCCTCTTTGAGGGGTGCTCCCCCTCCCCTCTTACCCCCTCCTACGCCTCCGCAGCTGCTGCTGTCGACCTCCTCGGTGCTGAGAAGGTCGCAGTTGCTTCCGCTCCTAGTGGGAAGCGCAGCGGCTCCAGGGGAGGCAAGGGTGGCAGGGGTGGCGGACGGGGCAGTGGAGGGGGCGGTGGTGGAGGCGGCAGGGGAGGTGGAGGTGGTGGGGGTGGTCGTGGGGGTGGAGGTGGTGGTGGGGGCGGTGGTGGTGCCGGGAGCGGTGGCAGTGGCAGCGGCGGTGGTGGCGGAGGGGGGAGTGGTGGTGGCAGCGGTGGTGGGGGCTTGGGTGACACCAGTGGTGGCCAGGGGCAACAGCAGCAGTAGCAGCAGCAGCAGCAGCAGCAGCAGCAGCAGCCGCAGCAGCGTCAGCGCCAGACCCCCACTTCCCAGCAGCTTCTTGACTGGTATGCCGGGCGTGGGGCGTCTGGGGGTCCTGGTCGCTGCCCCTATATCATTCGCGCAGGTCCCCGCGCTGGTCGCCAGTGCACAGGGTTTCACACTGAGTACCGCTGCTTCGCTCGGCTTAGCGACGCCTGGTGCGTTAAGTTTCCTGATGCTACTGAGTTCCCCAACTGGGCAAACCTGCTTAGGCGTGATGTACCTATCTTTGATCTTGACTATGAGGCTATTCTTGCTGCCATGTATGCATTGACTGTTAGTGCTGAGGGTGACTGCTACTTGTGTGTGCCGCTTGACCCTGGTATAGCCCCAGGTATAGCGCCTGTTGCACTAGGTGCGTGTGAGTCTTCTCCCCCTGGTACTGCGTCCGCATAGGCCTTGCACACCTTCACACTTGACTCTGGTGCTTCCCGCTGTTTCTTTCGCGACAGCACCACAGCCACTCCCCTCCCTGCACCTGTTCCTGTCTCACTGGCTGACCCCTCTGGGGGCCTAGTGCTTGCACGGTCTTCCACTGTGCTTCCGTGTCCGGCGGTCCCGTCTGGTGAGCTGTCTGGTCTCCACCTCCCCTCGTTCTCTACGAACTTGGTGAGCAACGCCGTCCTTCAGGATCACTGGGTTGACACCTTTACTCCTGGAGGACAGCGTGTGGCGATGTGCACGTGCTCACGGATTGGCCATCACCTGGCCACGTTTGCACGTGCGCTAGGGTCCAGTCTGTACACCCTCACCACTGCGTCACGCTACACCCCTTTGTCTCCCCAGCTGTACGCGTCTGCTCAGGTAGCTACCCAGTGTGAGTGTCGCCGCCTGTCGCACGACACTCTCCTGTGGCACCACTGCCTTGGTCACCCCTCCCTGCCTCGCCTTCGTAGCATGCACTCTCGCTTCCTGGTCTCTGGCCTTCCCAGGTCTCTGCCTGCCCTCCCTCCCTCGCCTGCGCCGCCCTGCATTCCTTGCGTCGAGGGGCGGCAGTGCGCCGCTCCTCACTCCTCCTCGTTCCCTCCCACAGAGGCTCCACTGCAGACTCTCCACCTGGACGTGTGGGGCCCAGCCCGCGTCCGTGGACAGGGCCACGAGCGGTACTTCCCGCTGGTCGTCGATGACTACACGCGTTACACCACGGTCTTCCCCTTGCAGCGCAAGGGGGAGGTCCCTGATGTTTTGATCCCCTGGATCCGCGCTGTTCGTCTCCAGCTCCGCGAGCAGTTCCAGTCGGACTTTCCTGTCCTGCGTCGCCACTCTGACAGAGGTGGTGAGTTCTCCTCAGACCTCTTGGCAGCCTTCTGTGCGGAGCACGGCATCCGCCAGACGTTCACGCTTCCAGCCTCTCCGCAGCAGAATGGGGTTGCTGAGCGCCGCATTGGCTTAGTCATGGAGGTTGCTCGTACCTCCATGATCCATGCGGCTGCCCCCCATTTTCTATGGCCGTTTGCGGTCCGGTACGCCGCGCATCAGCTCAACCTCTGGCCCCGTGTCTCCTTGCCGGAGACCTCGCCCACACTGCTATGGACGGGGAAGGTTGGCGATGCGTCGCGTTTCCGGGTCTGGGGTGTTCGTGCCTTTGTCCGCGATACCACCGCAGACAAGCTCTCCCCTTGCGCCATTCCCTGCGTCTTCCTTGGCTTTGTCCCTGACGCGCCTGGCTGGCAGTTTTACGACCCCGCCTCGCGCCGTGTCTTTCCGTCTCAGGACGTCACCTTTGACGAGTCAGTTCCCTTTTACCGTCTCTTTCCCTACCGCACTGCCCCTCGCCCCCCCCCCCCCCCCGCCGCTCTTTCTCGCCCCAGGTCCTCCCCAGGTAGACCCCCTCCCTGCGCCAGGTCCTGCTCCTTCAGGTGTCTCTTAGGTAGACCCTCCCGTACCTGCGCCTGTTGAGGTCACTGGTGACTCAGGTCCTGCTGGGGGTGGTGCTGTCCCTGGGGGTGCGGAGCTTGGGGGTGCGGAGCGTGGGGGTGCTGAGCCTGGGGGTGCGGAGCCTGAGCGTGAGGACCCAGGAGGTGCTGAGACTAGGGGTGCGGAGTCTGGGGGCACTGAGCCTGAGCGTGAGGAGCCTGAGGATGCGGAGCCTGGAGGTGCTGAGCCTGCGCGTGAGGAGCCTGGAGGTCCTGAGCCTGGGGGTGCTGCGTCTGGGGGTGCTGAGCCTGCGTGTGAGGAGCCTGGGGGTGCGACGCTTGAGCGTTCTGAGACTGCTGTTACGCGGTCTCCTTGGAGTAGCCGTCTTCGTCCGTGTGTGCCTCTCACCTCACAGCAGCTGCACGACTGGTACGGTCGCCGTCAGGGTCGCGCCTCTGGAGCTTGGGGCTCTGCTGCGGGAGGTACTTCTGCTGACGTCACTTGAGCTGGGAGTGGTGCTGGTCCTTTGTCTACTGGAGGTGCTGGAGTCGCTGGTCCCGGAGGTGCTCGTACTGGAGGTACTGGAGCTGCTGGGGCTGGAGGTGCTGTGTCTAAGGGTGCTATTGCTGGAGACCCTGGGTCTGAGGGTGCTGCTGCTGGAGGCACTGAGGCTGGAGACCCTGGGACTGGAGGTGCCGGTTCTGGGGGTGCTGCAGCAGGTGGAGCTGGTCCTGGAGGAGCTGGCGCTGAGGGTTCTGAAGCTGCTGGAGGTGCTGGAGCTGCTGAGGGTACTGGAGCTGCTGGAGGTGCTGGAGGTGCTGGTGCTGGTGGCACTGCACAGCCGCGCCTGTTCTTCGCTCCGCCGTCTCCGTCGTCTCAGCCACCGCCTGACTATGCGCTTCGCCAGGTTCTCAGTCTCCCTTCGTCTACTGGTCTTCCGTTACAGCCTGGCTCACCGCTGCCTGCTCCTTCTCCGTACACTGAGAAGACATGGGGCCTTGCTGAGCGTCGTGAGCCTGCGTCGCGTCCTGTCTCGTCTGTCCGTTCTGGTCGTCCCAGTCGTCGTGTTCCTCGTCAACGTCAGCCGGCTGTCCTTGGCACCCACCTTGTAGTCCGTCGTCCTTCCTCTCCTCCGCCGCGTGTTCCTCTGCCGTCTCCCCCTGCGTCCTCTCTGCCTGACGTTGCGGACCCTGAGTCTGACCAGTTTTGTACTGAGCACCCTACTGTCACGCGTCTGTTAGCCACTGTTGTCACCGACCCGTCGTTTGAGTCCATTGCTGCGTCTGCCCTAGTCGCTGAGCTTGTCGACTTTGCTGCTGCTTGTCGTCTAGACTACGCTGCTAGTCTTGTTGCTGAGTCTGAGTCTGTCTGTCCTCCGTCCGTCGGGGGTGAGTGTGCTCTTAGCACGGACGTCCTTGAGGACATGCACGAGGACCTTGAGTGTCTTGTGGCCGCTGCGCCTCATCTCGTGGCCATGCTGCTTGCCCCTGAGGGAGACCCGGATGCACCAGACATCCCGACCCCGCGCTCTTACGCTGAGGCAATCGCGGGTGAGTACTCCTCTCAGTAGCAGACAGCCATGGACGCAGAGATGGCATCCTGGAAGTCCACAGGCACGTACGTCGATGAGGTTCCCCCTCCCGGGGTGAACATCGTCGACGGCATGTGGATTTTCAGGGTGAAGCGTCCTCCAGGTTCTCCGTCTGTCTTCAAGGCTCGTTACGTTGCTCGAGGCTTCAGTCAGCGAGAGGGAGTTGACTTCTTCCAGACCTTCTCCCCCACCCCAAAGATGACCACTCTTCGGGTGTTGCTGCACGTTGCCGCTCATCGTGACTACGAGCTTCACTCTCTTGACTTCAGCATAGCTTTCTTACAGAGCAGCCTGCACGAGGAGATCTGGCTGCGCCGCCCGCCTGGCTTCACTGGGTCGTTCCCTCCTGGTACCCTGTGGAGCCTCCGGCGGCCGGTCTACGGTCTCCGCCAGGCGCCACGTGAGTGGCACGACACACCGAGGACGACACTTGCGGCTCTTGGGTTTACTCCGTCGACTGCTGACCCGTCGCTGTTTCTGTGTCACGAGACTAACGTAAGGTAGGCAACGGGTTTAACTAATAGGCCTAGGCTTAGTAGCCTAGGCCAAGCGGGTGTCGAGTAGTTTGTGCCAAGGAGAATTGAAGAATGGTTGGAGGTTCACTATAGCACACGAGTACATATAGCAACCTAACAAAGGTGAAAGAAGTGCACCACCACACAAGGGAATTACACAACAGCTACACTACAGGCAGATTATACTAAATAGATATAAATCTATTGTGACACACCCCCTATCTGCCTGAAGTGCATAACCATGTGCAAAGCCCCCCTTGAAGGGGTACACCTGTAAAACCCCATTACAGGGCGTGGGAACACCAGCAAGGGGCCCCCTCTGAAGCTGACAAGCAGCAACCACCAAGCAGCATCTGAACCACCACGGTGGAACAGGTGCCCGGCTGCGGTTGAACGCCCCGCAGCTGGTGCACGGTGTGCAAGGAGCACGGGTACGGGTAGCGGGTTCGGGTAGCAACTAGGTGCTGTACGGGACGGGCCGCACGGGGGTGACGAGCAGCACGAGACCGGGCAGCACAGACTGGGTGGGGCACGAGCGAGAACTGATAGCACGGGTGGGGCACCAACGGGTACGGACAGCACGGGTAGGGCACAAACGGGCAGAACGGGGCAGCACGGGCAGAACAGGGCAACACGGGCAGAACGGGGCAGGACACGGGCTGAACGGGGCAACTCGGGCAGAACGGGGCAGGACACGGGCTGAACGGGGCAACACGGGCAGAACAGGGCAGAACACGGGCTGAACGGGGCAGGACACAGGCTGAACGGGGCAACACGGGCAGAACAGGGCAGAACACGGGCTGAACGGGGCAGGACACGGGCTGAACGGGGCAACACGGGCAGAACGGGGCAACACGGGCTGAACGGGGCAACACGGGCAGAACGGGGCAGGACACGGGCTGAACGGGGCAACACGGGCAGAACAGGGCAGAACACGGGCCGAACGGGGCAGGACAAGGGCTGAAAGGGGCAACACGGGCACAACGGGGCAGCACGGGCAGAACAGGGAGCACGGGCAGAACGGGGGACACTGGGCACGGGTAGAACACGGGCAGCAACGGGAGACACGGGTGGGCACGGGCAGTATGGCATGGGAACGGGCAGCAACACGGGCAGGATCACAGGCAGAATCACGGGCAAAATCACGGGCGACAACACGGGCAGAATCACGGGCAGAATCACGGTCAGGATCACGGGCAGAACACGGGCAAAATACGGGCAGCACGCGGGTATGATCACGGGCACAATCACGGGCAGCAGTACGGGCAGAATCACGGGCAGGATCACGGGCAGAACACGGGCAGGAAACGGGCAGAACACGGGTATTATCATGGGCACAGGCTGAACGGGGCAACACGGGCAGAACGGGGCAGGAAGGGAACACGGGGGCAACACGGGAATGGGCACGGGGCAAGCACGGCGAACACGGGCGGACAGCACGTGCATGGGCACGGGGCAAGCACGGGGCGAACAGGAGCACGGGAAGCACGGGGCAGCACGGGACGAACGAGAGCACGGAGCGCACGGGACGAACGAGAGCACGGAACGCACGGGACGAACGAGAGCACGGAACGCACGGGACGAGCGGGAGAACGGGAGCACGGGAGCACGGGAACGATGGGGTAGCAGCACGGGAGACACGGGGCGGGGGGATGACAGGAGGAGGAGTGGTGGCAGTTGCTGCAGCTGGAACATCCACCCACACCCCCTGAACCTCCCCCTTACATGAGACGCCAACTCCGCCACTCCCCCTACCCCAGCCGTCCCCCACGGGCCAACACCCCACCTCCTCCCCCTCCTGCTGGAAACGGGGACAGAGATGGAGGTGGGATGGCATTTGTCGGTGGGGGGGCGGGATCTGGGGCAGAACGGCGGTCTGGGTGCAGGTACGGGGTGCGGACGGGTCTCGCGGACAGGAGCACGGACGTTGTGCGTGGTGCGGGTTGCGTACGGGCGACGGGCGGGGTGCGGGGCGCGGGTGGCGGACGAGCGGCGAGTGAGGTGCGGGGCGCGGGTCGCGGACGATCTGTAGCGTGCAGTGGCGGAGCAGCAGCTTCTCCCGCCACTCCCGCCACGCCCGCCATTCCCGCCACTCCCTTCACAGTAGCCGCGAAGTCGACGGGAGGGCGGGCAGGGACGGAACGGGACGAGACGAAACGCGGGCAAGCGCTGGTGCTCAAGTGACGGTCGCCACCCTTTTCCCCCTCTCCTCTCCCCCCCCCACTGCGACCGTCGACGTTTCCGCGACAGTGAGCCGCGACGAGGCAGCGTGACGGGGAAGGGCGACGGGGAAGGAAGCGGCGGTTCGAGGGGCTGACGGGGGGCAAGAGCAGCGGCGCGAAACAGCGGGTCGACGAACGCCGTCACTCCCGCCGCGACCGTCGTGTCTGTCACGACTACCGTGACGGATTTTGCTACGGGCGAGCGACGGGGAAGGACGGGACGCGCCATCACGATAACTAACGGTGGGCCCTTTAAAAAATAGGTCAGGAACGACCTAGCTCAATACCATGTCACGAGACTAACGTAAGGTAGGCAACGGGTTTAACTAATAGGCCTAGGCTTAGTAGCCTAGGCCAAGCGGGTGTCGAGTAGTTTGTGCCAAGGAGAATTGAAGAATGGTTGGAGGTTCACTATAGCACACGAGTACATATAGCAACCTAACAAAGGTGAAAGAGGTGCACCACCACACAAGGGAATTACACAACAGCTACACTACAGGCAGATTATACTAAATAGATATAAATCTATTGTGACATTCTGCGCACCGACACTTCGATGCCGCCGTTCTACATCCTCGTGTACGTCGACGACTTGGTCTTTGCCACTGCTGACACTGAGGCTCTCGCCATGGTGAAGTCGGAGCTGCAGAAGAGACACACGTGCACAGACCTGGGTGAGCTGCGCAGTTACCTTGGCTTGCAGATCACCCGGGACAGAGCACGCCGCACCATCACCCTGGCTCAGTCACACATGGTGCAGCAGGTCCTTCAGCGCTTCGGCTTCACCTGGTCCTCGACATAGGCCACTCCTCTGGCTACAGGTCACTCGCTCTCAGCTCCACCTTCGGACGAGTCCGTAGAGCCGAGTTGTCCTTACCCAGAGCTAGTTGGCTACCTCATGTACCTGATGACCTGCACTCGTCCTGACCTCGCGTACCGTCTTGGCCTTCTGGCTCGCTACGTGGCTCCTGGTCGGCACCAAAAGGTGCACATGGATGCTGCTAAGAGGGTACTGCGCTACTTGTGCAGTACATCGGGCATGGGGCTGTCAAACATATGCTTATGTTATATTTGTGGGTAGGCTGTAGTGGGGTAGATAATGTGGGGTATAACCCCTTAGGGCTTCCTTCTTGTACAATTCTCTTGATAGTCAATCCACTCCTGCCTAGCTTCTAGGATGGTATCTAGAGAAGTAGGTCTTTCGGACCTAAATTTAGGGCCCACCTGTTACCGCGTTACCTCACCTACGGCCTTGGCTGCCTTCCTGCCTTGCCTGCTGTCCGCGCGCGCCTCGGCTGCACGCGCGCGTATCTTTTTTTTTTTTTTTTTTTAACGCGCACTGCTGCTGCAGCCACCTCCGCAGCCCGCTGCAGCGCCGCGCGCCGCGCCCGCAGTCTGCGCCGAGCCCGTGTCGCCCGCGCGCGGCCCGCAGCTGCCCCGCGCACTGCTCGCGCTGCCCGCGACGAGCCCGCGCAGCCCGCCGCTGCGCGCAGCCCACCGCCGCACGCAGCCCGTCGCCTCGCGCAACCCGCAGCCGCGCGTGCCCCGCCCCGCGCGCCGCGTCTGCCGCCTGCGCAGCCCGCTGCTGCTCCGCTAGCTGCCTTAGGAGCGCGCGTGGCCTGCTGCTGCCTCGCGCGCCGCCTTAGGAGCTCGCGTGCGGCCCACTGCTGCCCCACACGCCGCTGTAGGAGCCCGCGCGCAGCCCGCTGCTGCCCCGCGAGCTGCCTTAGGAGCCCGCGCGCGGCCCGCTGCTGCAGCCTACGCGCGTCCTGCTACTGCCCCGCGCGCTGCCTGAGCTGCCTTTGCCTGTTGCCTACTGCCTGCTGCCTGCTGCCCTTGCCTTTGCCTGCTGCCTGCTGCCTACTGCCTTTGCCTACTGGCTTTACCTGCACTGCGATTATGGCAACGCTTAATGTTCTCGCGTTTGAGTCAGACGGTCGCCCGATAGAGTTTGCTGTGTGGCTTGACGATCTCCAACTGTTTCTTCTGATCGATGCCAAAGACGGCTTTTCACTGTTCGATTACGTGTCTGGCATTGCCATTGCTCCTGCTGACGATGCTACTGCTCTCGAACGCTCACAGTGGCAGACTCGCGATGCTGCTGCACGCCTAGCTATTAGGAACCATCTGCCGATCACTGAGCGCGCGCATTTCAGCCAGCACAAAACTGCTAAGGCACTGTACGACACTGTAGTTGCGCGCTCCTCCTCCCCGGCCACTGCAGCCCTAGGTCGGCTCATGCTACCCTACCTGTTCCCCGACCTGTCCTCGTTTACCACTGCTGAGGACCTCATTTCTCACCTTCGCACTAGTGACACTCGCTTTCGTGCCGCCCTTCCAGCCGAGTTCTGCGCCGCAAACCCCCCCCCCCCCCCCCCCGATGTACTTCACTCTCTATTTCCTCGTCACCCGCCTCCCTGACACTCTTAGCTCCGTCAGGGACCACTTCCTAGCCCTAGACCCTACCACTCTCACTGTCGCCGACTTCGAGAAGCACCTCCTAGCAGCAGAGAAGAAAATCCTCGCTGTAGGTGCTGCTCGTGGTAATCCTCGCTCTCCCCTCTTTGAGGGGTGCTCCCCCTCCCCTCTTACCTCCTCCTACGCCTCCGCAGCTGCTGCTGTCGACCTCCTCGGTGCTGAGAAGGTCGCAGCTGCTTCCGCTCCTAGTGGGAAGCGCAGCGGCTCCAGGGGAGGCAAGGGTGGCAGGGGTGGCGGACATGGCAGTGGAGGGGGCGGTGGTGGAGGCGGCGGGGGAGGTGGAGGTGGTGGGGGTGGTCGTGGGGGTGGAGGTGGTGGTGGGGGCGGTGGTGGTGCCGGGAGCGGTGGCGGTGGCGACGGCGGTGGTGGCGGAGGGGGGAGTGGTGGTGGCAGCGGTGGTGGGGGCTTGGGTGACACCAGTGGTGGCCAGGGGCAACAACAGCAGTAGCAGCAGCAGCAGCACCAGCCGCAGCAGCGTCAGCGCCAGACCCCCACTTCACAGCAGCTTCTTGAATGGTATGCCGGGCGTGGGGCGTCTGGGGGTCCTGGTCGCTGCCCCTATATCATTCGCGCAGGTCCCCGCGCTGGTCGCCAGTGCACAGGGTTTCACACTGAGTACCGCTGCTTCGCTCGGCTTAGCGACGCCTGGCGCGTCAAGTTTCCTGATGCTACTGAGTTCCCCAACTGGGCAGACCTGCTTAGGCGTGATGTACCTATCTTTGATCTTGACTATGAGGCTATTCTTGCTGCCATGTATGCATTGACTGTTAGTGCTGAGGGTGACTGCTACTTGTGTGTGCCGCCTGACCCCGGTATAGCCTCAGGTATAGCGCCTGTGGCATTAGGTGCTTGCGAGTCTGCTCCCCCTGGTACTGCGTCCGCACAGGCCTTGCACACCTTCACACTTGACTCTGGTGCTTCCCGCTGTTTCTTTCGCGACAGCACCACAGTCACTCCCCTCCCTGCACCTGTTCCTGTCTCACTGGCTGACCCCTCTGGGGGCCTAGTGCTTGCACGGTCTTCCACTGTGCTTCCGTGTCCGGCGGTCCCGTCTGGTGAGCTGTCTGGTCTCCACCTCCCCTCGTTCTCTACGAACTTGGTGAGCAACGCCGTCCTTCAGGATCACTGGGTTGACACCTTTACTCCTGGAGGACAGCGTGTGGCGATGTGCACGTGCTCACGGATTGGCCGTCACCTGGCCACGTTTGCACGTGCGCTAGGGTCCAGTCTGTACACCCTCACCACTGCGTCACGCTACACCCCTTTGTCTCCCCAGCTGTACGCGTCTGCTCAGGTAGCTACCCAGTGTGAGTGTCGCCGCCTGTCGCACGACACTCTCCTGTGGCACCACTGCCTTGGTCACCCCTCCCTGCCTCGCCTTCGTAGCATGCACTCTCGCTTCCTGGTCTCTGGCCTTCCCAGGTCTCTGCCTGCCCTCCCTCCCTCGCCTGCGCCGCCCTGCATTCCTTGCGTCGAGGGGCGGCAGTGCGCCGCTCCTCACTCCTCCTCGTTCCCTCCCACAGAGGCTCCACTGCAGACTCTCCACCTGGACGTGTGGGGCCCAGCCCGCGTCCGTGGACAGGGCCACGAGCGGTACTTCCCGCTGGTCGTCGATGACTACACGCGTTACACCACGGTCTTCCCCTTGCAGCGCAAGGGGGAGGTCCCTGATGTTTTGATCCCCTGGATCCGCGCTGTTCGTCTCCAGCTCCGCGAGCAGTTCTAGTCGGACTTTCCTGTCCTGCGTCGCCACTCTGACAGAGGTGGTGAGTTCTCCTCAGACCTCTTGGCAGCCTTCTGTGCGGAGCACGGCATCCGCCAGACGTTCACGCTTCCGGCCTCTCCGCAGCAGAATGGGGTTGCTGAGCACCGCATTGGCTTAGTCATGGAGGTTGCTCGTACCTCCATGATCCATGCGGCTGCCCCCCATTTTCTGTGGCCGTTTGCGGTCTGGTACGCCGCGCATCAGCTCAACCTCTGGCCCCGTGTCTCCTTGCCGGAGACCTCGGCCACACTGCTGTGGACGGGGAAGGTTGGCGATGCGTCGCGTTTCCGAGTTTGGGGTGCTCGTGCCTTTGTCTGCGATACCACCGTGGACAAGCTCTCCCCTCGCGCCATTCCCTGCATCTTCCTTGGCTTTGTCCCTGACACGCCTGGCTGGCAGTTTTACGACCCCGCCTCGCGCCGTGTCTTTCCATCTCATGACGTCACCTTTGACGAGTCAGTTCCCTTTTACCGTCTCTTTCCCTACCGCACCGCCCCTCCCCCCCCCCCCCCCCCCCCCCCCCCCCCGCCGCTCTTTCTCGCCCCAGGTCCTCCCCAGGTAGACCCCCTCCCTGCGCCAGGTCCTGCTCCTTCAGGTGTCTCTCATGAAGACCCTCCCGTGCCTGCTCCTGTTGAGGTCACTGGTGACTCAGGTCCTGCTGGGGGTGGTGCTGTCCCTTGGGGTGCGGAGTTTGGGGGTGCGGAGCTTGGGGGTGCGGAGCGTGGGGGTGCTGAGCCTGGGGGTGCGGAGCCTGAGCATGAGGACCCAGGAGGTGCTGAGACTGGGGGTGCGGAGTCTGGGGGTGCTGAGTCTGCGCGTGAGGAGCCTGGAGGTCCTGAGCCTGGGGGTGCTGCGTCTGGGGGTGCTGAGCCTGCGCGAGAGGAGCCTGGGGGTACTGTGCTACTTGTGCAGTACATCGGGCATGGGGCTCGTGCTTGGAGGGCGGAGTCCAGTTGTCCTCACTGGGCACTCAGACGCTTCTTGGGTTGACGACCAGGCTACACAGCGGTCGTCACAGGGTTACACTTTCAGCCTTGGCTCCGCATCTGTTTCTTGGCGTTCTACTCGCTCGTCTTCTGTTCTCAGCTCCAGTTGTGAGGCTGAAATCTACGCCACAGCCATGGCTGCTCCAGAGTTACGCTGGCTCACCAACCTGCTGACCGACTTGGGAGAGAGGCCTCGTTCTCCTCCAGTTCTGTACGTCGACAACAGGGCCGCCATGGCCTTGTGTGAGGAGCACAGACTGGAGCACTGAACAAAGCACATCGCTCTGCGTTACTTCCTGGCTCGAGAGTTGCAGCAGCGGGGTCAGCTTCGCCTTGCTCACGTGGCCACTCGGGCCAACACTGCTGATATATTCACCAAGGCACTTCCGTCTGGTGACCATCAGCGCTTTTGTACTTTGTTGGGCCTTGTGCCTACGTTTCCACACTTGCTGTAGACTCTGCTTTTACTGTGATCTATATATATATGTACCTGCATGCTTGCTCTTGCTAGGTAGAGATCACTGTACTGTTCTTGTTGCATATATAACTCTGCATGTGAACTGGCCCTGTGGCCTTTTGCTTGTGCTCAGTGTGTGTGGTGACGTTGTGATCCACCCTGAGCTTGCTTTGCTTTTCTTGACCTCTTGCTCTCCCCCACTTTGCCTATGGGGGTGTGTCATGTTAGAATCTAGCAGCAGGAATGGATGCACTATGGAAGAGTAGGGGACAAGTATGAAACCCTAAATGGGTTTGTACCCCATATTGGCTACCCCACTACAGCCTACATATATATAGCATGCATATACTTTGACATATCAAACATTTGCTTATGTTATATTTGTGGGTAGGCTGTAGTGGGGTAGATAATGTGGGGTATAACCCCTTAGGGCTTCCTTCTTGTACAATTCTCTCGATAGTCAATCCACTCCTGCCTAGCTTCGAAGAGGGGCTCGTGCTTGGAGGACGGGGCGACGTTGTCCTCACTGGTCACTCGGACGCTTCTTGGGTTGACGACCAGGCTACGCAGCAGTCGTCACAGGGTTACACCTTCAGCCTTGGCTCTGGTTCAGTTTCTTGGCGTTCTACACGCTCGTCTTCAGTTCTCAGCTCCAGTTGTGAGGCTGAGATCTACGCCACAGCTATGGCTGCACAGGAGTTACGCTGGCTCATATACCTGCTGACCGACTTGGGAGAGCGGCCTCGTTCTCCTCCAGTGCTGTACGTCGACAACAAGGCCGCCATTGCCTTGTGTCAGGAGCACAGACTAGAGCACAGAACGAAGCACATCGCTCTGCGCTACTTCCTGGCTCGAGAGTTGCAGCAGCGTGGTCAGCTTCGTCTTGCTCACGTGGCCACTCGGGCCAACACTGCTGATATATTCACCAAGGCACTTCCGTCTGGTGATCATCAGCGTTTCTGCACTTTGTTAGGCCTTGTGCCTACGTTTCCTCACTTGTTGTAGACTTTGCTTGTACTGTGATCTATATATATACCTGCATGCTTGCTCTGCTAGGTAGAGATCACTGTGCTATTCTTGTTGCATATATATATCTCTGCATGTGAACTGGCCTTGTGGCCTCTTGCTTGTGCTCAGTGTGTGTGGTGACGTTGTGATCCACCCTGAGCTTGCTTTGCATTTCTTGACTGGTCTTGTGACCCTCTGTTCTCCCCCACTTTGCCTATGGGGGTGTGTCAAACTATATATATTATGTTAAGGTGTAGGCTGTAGTGGGGTAGCATATATGGGGTACAACACATTGCTAGGGTTTGTACTTGTACCCAATCTTCCCGTAGTCAATCATTTCCTGACTAGTTTCTGAGATGCTCGAGCCAGTGGCTCAAAGCCATGACACTTCAATTGAGTCAGGCCATTCTCACGCTTCAAGGTCACAGTCCCATTACCAGGTCACATGACTCCATGCCCTGTACCTCTCAGGTGTCATGCTAGGTGTCACGCTTGCAAGCACTACTCCCCAGCACGTCATCTAATTTCACTCTCACACCTCAATGGGCACTCTGCTCCCACCGTTGGCCAAGCCTGTTTGGTGGTTCAGCTTGGCCTCAAGTACTACACGCAATTTATCATTTAAAACTGGAGTTCCCAAAGTTTCTAACTTAGAAATCTTGGTTGGGGCAAGGGTGGTGTCGAGATTTGTGAAGTGAGCATTACAACTAAAGAAACGGTCGACCATAAGTGCCTTTTTCTGCTAAATAAAAAGCAGAGCAAGATGCAACTTGCGCTTTCATTCATTCCTATAACGAATATTCGTTTACTGAATTCAAGTTTTGTGCTTTCCACCGCCGTTTGCGGCATCCAGTAGCTCTCCTCCCAAGGGGACGCGTCCAATTTCGAGTGTGGTGGCGAATTGATCACAAGTTTACACTGGGCAGCTCGCATGTTGAGCTTTTGCCCAGCATTATCACAAAAAGCAGGATTTTTTTTTTCCATGTTGTGTTGCGGATATTCTACTTTTCAACGCGTCACAAATTTTTATTTACAGACTGGGCAGATCGCGAATCGCATTATTGCCCTACAAACCGAAATTGCATCATTCACATTCTTCAGCAGCCCAGCCCAGGATCACTGTCGGCGAATACCCCCCCCCCCCCCCCACCCCCCGCCGCACTCGTCCTTCTTTGCTCATGCTGCTGGTTCTTCAGCGCAACCCAATTTGTCTAGAAATCGCGTTGCTGAAGATGCGCTAACCATCAGTCTCAGTTCCTATTTTAACGCTCAGCTCTCAATCTCTCCCATCTATTCCATCACACTACAACGCCATGGCTCGCGCCATTCTCTCCGTCGGCCTCGCGCTCTTTCCTCGCTGCAGTCCTGGCGCTCTCTTTCACCCAAGGTACCACATTACTCTCGTGCCATCGCGAAACCTAAGACGATGCTCTGTGTCTCGCTTGTGCACTCGTGTTGCATTACTACTCTTTTATCACTTTCGCCTCTACTGCAGCCCACGCGATCCCTCACACCATATGTAGATTAACGCGCTCACCCGATTTTTTCCACATATGCAGCCTCTGGCGCTTGCGTGTTTAGTTGCTTCTTTCTGAATCCCTGCATCGAACGCGCCATTGATCTCATCTCACAGCTCCCCTTGATCCCCTTAATCCTCCGCAAATCCCCTATCCGCCACTCACTCTCCTCCGTCTGCCCACTCATCCCCATCGCACTCTCCCCAGGCCGCCTCCGCTTTTTTTTTTTTTTTCTGCCCCTCCACTCACTCCCTTTAACCTACCCCTACCAGCAACGAGCGCGGTGGCGACAGGCGGCGTCGTGACAGCAGAAAACGCGGCGAGTGCCGCCCTGCCTAACGAAGTGCCGCGCGTGCAGCGCCACCGCAAGCTCCCGTCGGTATCCGTTTGTAAGTCAGTTTACGACTCGTCAGATGGGATTCAGTCGTCTTGCTCGGACAAACCAAACGTAGTAGCCTTGTGTGTCGACTCAAACCCTGAGTCAGCGCCACCGCAAGCTCCCGTCGGTATCCGATGGTACGATGATCATGTGACTCGGATTCAGTCTACTTGTACGGACAAACCACTGGTATAGGGCTCGGCAAACGTAGAATGAGGGACCAGGTCCTCTGCCGTTCCCCTCTGCATTCTAGCCGGTTTTCAAAGTGCTATATTTTCTCTAAATGCCCTGCATTTTCCAGAGTGCTCTGTTTTTCCTCGAAATGTCCGTGCCATTTCCATGCGGAATTGCTGAGTGTCGTGGCATTCGGAATTGCAAGGCCGCAGCCTCCACTTCTGCAGCAAAGAGACACTGCCCGCGTTTCTCCGGCAAAAGCCGAGAACGTATTCTAATCAAGCTCCTCAAATCTCCTATCCTGCCTGCCGCTTCACTGGGCGGTCCCTTTTACACCAGCCTCATGCCAAGACGCGATCGCGCGGAGAATGCAAATCCGCAACTCATACTACAACATGGGTGACATGGACCTGTATAGGCAGTGCGTGGACTCAATCAACGCATGGGGTCCGGGTTGCTCTGGCCAGGCGCCACCGGTACGTCACAGACATGGTGGACGGGCCATGTCAGCACTGTGGTTGTCACGTGCATCCCTTCCCTTGTTTCGTTCCGTCTCTCTCACATGCCAAGTGATCTGGTGTGCCACTCTCACATGCCAGATGTCCCTGGTTTGTCGCTTTCACATGCCATCTGATCATGTGCGTTGCTCTCACATGCCAGATGTCCCTGGTTTGTCGCTTTCACATGCCATCTGATCATGTGCGTTGCTCTCACATGCCAGATGTCCCTGGTTTGTCGCTTTCACATGCCATCTGATCATGTGTGCTGCTCTCACATGCCAGATGTCCCTGGCTTGTCGCCATCACATGTCTTATCGCATGCCAGATGTCCCTGGTTTGTCGCCCTCACATGTCTTATCCCATGCCAGATGTCCCTGGTTTGTCGCCCTCCCATGTCTTATCGCATGCCAGATGTCCCTGGTTTGTCGCCCTCACATGTCTTATCGCATGCCAGATGTCTCTGTTTGTCGCCCTCACATGTCTTATCGCATGCCAGATATCCCTGGTTTGTCGCCCTCACATGTCTCATCGCATGCCAGATGTCCCTTACAGTTCAGGATAAATCACCTCACTTCTGTGTGCACATTCTCTTGGTCTGCCTTTCTCCCCTCCCTTGCCCCTCCCAGCCATAAATATGTGCCTTGAAGGCCAACAAATCCAGGCCCCCACATGTGTTTCAAAAGTCTATGGAGCCTACTCAAGATGATGATTTTAGCTAGTGATAATGCTTCTTTGGTTTCTCACTAGTTTTTTTTTTGTGTGCTTCCGCGTCACATGAAGTTTTATCCCACGGGGTGGGTCAGTGCTTAGAACAGGAAAGACCTAGGGTTTGTTGAATGTGCATCTGCTGCTTTGTTGTATTCTGATTATATATCCCTTCTAATGCCACCTCGTCTTCCATGGCCAATACACGAGGCTTGGGATCGGTGAGAGAATAACAAAACCACTAGGTACCAAAACACCACTCAAGCCCAGTAACGTACCAAGTAGTTCCACTGCTACGCCACATGACTCCACGCCCTAGCGTCTCTCAGGTGTCACGCCTGCGATTTCTCCGAAGTTCACAGTCAGCGTCATGTCTGCATGTACTCAGGTCACAATCCCACTTCTAGGCCATATGGCTCTACGCCCTGGTGCCTCTTAAGCATCACGCATGTAAGTAACTCGACTGCAAAGCCGCATGGCTCCACTCCCTGGCGCCTCTCAGGCGTCAAGCGTGCATGTACTCCGAAGGACAAAGTCCCACTGCCCGGCCATATGGCTCCACGCGCATGTCATGCGCGATGCGACACCTCTCTCAGGCCTCTCTCAACGGAGGTTTGGTGGTTCAGCTTGGTCTCAACCAGTTAACGAACTTATCGTTTTACACACTTTGTGAAACTATCGTTGAGAGAATGAAAAGTTCAACCATAAGCTCTTATGTCTCCTCACCAAAAAATATGCACAGAACTCAACTTCCTCTCTTTCATTTTTTCCTGTAACGAGTGTTCGTTTACTGCATTGAAACTTTTGTGCTTTCCCCCGCCATTTGCGGCATCCAATGTGCTCGCAGTAGATTTCCAGCATCGCTACATACGCAGTATTGCCCTTGCATTATCACCAAAAGGCAGGAAAATTTCCATTTTTGGTTGCGGATTGATTCTGAACCCTCGATCCATCAGGTTTTCTACTTTTGAACGCGTCACATATTTGTTTTTCCAGACCGGGCAGATGCGAATCGCATTATTGCCCTTGTATTATCATCGCCATTGCATAATTCACATCCTTCAGCATCCCAACCCAGAGTCAATCACGCCAATACCCCCGCGCACTCGTCTTTCTTGGCCCATGCTAACGGACCCATTCGCATCTATAAATCCCGCCACTGAACATGCACAAACCATCAGTCTCAGTTCCTACTTTAACGCTCAGTTCTCAATCTCTCCCAGCTAGCCCATCACGCTACAACGCCATGGCTCGCGCCATTCTCTCCTTCGGCCTCGCGCTCTTCCTCGCTGCAATCCTGACGCTCTCTTTCACCCAAGGTACCGTAAAAAGTGAGCCTCGCTCTGACTCGTCACTCCCTCCCCATTGCATCGACCAAGCCATCCAACTAGTCTCGTGCCTCCTCGCAGTTCCTTCAATCCCCCTCTCAATCCCCTCTATCCGCCCCTCACTCCCCTCCTGCCTCTCACTCCCCTCAGTTTGCCCACATCCCATCTCACTCCAATCCTGCCTCTAACGTTATATCTGCCCCTCAATCCTCTCACTCCCCTTAACCCGCCTCTACCAGAAACTAACGCGGCGAGAGGCGTCGTCACAGTAGAAAACGCCGCGAGTGCCGTCCAGCCCAACACAGCGCACGAGCAGAGCCATCGCAAGCTCCAAACCGTTGCGAGGACAAAAACATCCGACGGTACGATGAGACTCATCCTTTAGTACGGACGATTCTGAACGTTGAATGAATGGTCAGGCATTCCCTTGTTCACTTCCTTGGCATTCTATCCGACAATCCAGTGTGCTTGTTATCTTGTGCTCTTATCCTTTTCCACTGCTCTTGAACCCTCTAGCCATGAGGGTTCACTTCACAATTTTAGAATTATGATGAGAACATACTAGAAGCGTCGAATTCCATTTTCTTGCAGCAATGAGAGTCGGACTGCCTTGCCGCGCTTTTTGGCAAAAAAGGTTCACTAACCATGCTCATTGAATTCCCTATCCTTCCTGCTGTCTCTATTGGCGGTGCCTCTGATACCCAGGCATTAGTTGTCTTACAGTGGCCGCGCGGACTGACAGTATTTGCTACAAGTACAAGCCGTGCCTTGACAGACTTAACAGGCAGCGTCTCGAATGCAGCACGCCGCTTACCGTGGTACGTCACAAATATTGCGGACGTGGTTGTCACATGCATCCATTCGCTGCTTCGTTCTGTCGCGCTCAGCATGTCACGTGGTCTGGCGTTTGCTTGCTTTTGTTCGTGATGAAGGCTCGTCGCATGCCAGATCCCTTCCAGTGCAATTGTGGACCACATGATGACACATGTGTGCGTGCAAATGCTGTGGCATTTCCCTTTCTCCCTTCCGTTGCCCCTCCCAGAATATTGACGAAATAACTAAGAAAGGAGGGCTCTAGCTTCGCGTGTTGTGATTGTTTTAGTGTTTCTTTGGTTTCAAGACAGTGCTGTGGTGTGGGAGTTGGTGTCGGATGATGTTTACCCTACAGGGGGGGTCGAGTGCTTAGGGGAGAGAACACCTCGAAGCTATGTGCTTACAGGAAGGAGCTATGTGCTTGGATGTGAACCTACCTCCGCTAGTTGGGTGGCGATCTGCTGTTTTGAATCGTTGATAATACATCCCTTCTATTGTCCTAGGCCATTTTCTGGTCCTATGGCCAGTACTTGGCTTGCGATCGGTGAGTGAAAGAATATGACGCATAATAATCAGATACCAGAACAATATGGCAGGCCAGTAACATAGCAAAGTGTTTCCCATACTATTTTGTGCAAAGTAATCTGCTGTGCACTTCACATCCACTAAGAAAAAAAATATTCTGCCATTGCTGTGCACAGGCCAAGCCAGCTTCATTGGTGGCCTGTGAGTGGAACCATAGGCTATTGATGCAATTATTATTGGCTCTGTTGGCTCAAAATTTAATCACTATGTATGTATATATGGAAATCAGCTGTCATGCCTTTATATCATCGCGATTCCTACAGCCACACATGTGGTTTCACTGCCCCAGGGGGCCAGCCCAACCCCGACTCTCTCAATCGTCTCAACGAGAACTCTGCTCACAAGGTTTACTCTCAGCGCGGCTATATGCCCCGTATGCACAAAAGCGTCAGTGAATGAGTTCCATACAGTACACAAAAGCCACTTTTCATCCGCACTGTGAATGGCGGACAGAAAACAGCTTGCCTCGTGTGACAGCTCCTTTGAGGCAATCAATTTGACTCACAGAGTTTATGTTCGTACATTGTGAAAGAAATAGAATTTTGAGGTGCGACGTGTAAAACAACTGCGAGTTGCGACAATGATACATCTCAATCCGCCCCTCACTCATCCAGTCCGTCTCTTGCTCCCCCCAGACCGTCCCTCACCCCTGTCAGTCCACCCCCCACCCCCATCAGATCGCCGTTTACTCCTCTCTGCCCATCCCATTCCGCCCAGGCCTCCATTGCTTAGCCTACTCCCACAATCTGCCACTCACTCTTCTTTCCATTCACTCTCCTCTCGTCTCCTTTCTACTCCTCAACCTGCCCCTGGCAGCCAGAGCATTAACAGGATTCATCACAGCAAGGAGTGCTGCAAGTGTGACCCGGCTCCCCACAGTGGACAAGCAGCACCATTCCAAACTCTGAAAATCTGGCACCGTCACTGCAAATGCCTAGAATGCGTGTACAGGCATTGAGGTAGGGAGGAGGAGAAGCTACTTCCTCAAATTCTTCACTACTGTTATATTCTAACATGAAATCCTTGCTTCTTTTCCATAGAGGTCTTGGATTTTTCATGCGATTCTTGTCGGTCATGCCATGGAATCCACATATTTAGAGAAAACACAATATTTTCCTGCTACAATGAGACTTAGCCTTCCTTCTTGTTGTCGCTTTCCATGCAAGGCCAAAGAAAAATCACTACCATGCTTCCTATATCCCCTCTTCTACCTGCTGCCTCACCAAGTGGCGCCTTGCCGTACAATCTGGAGACCTCGTTTCTGATAGCCATTTCACCGATTGTGCAGTACTTGATCTGTAGCTTAACTCTGGCTTCAATGGTGGCCAACCCAACTTGCAAGTGTCAGCAAAATGCCCAGATAAACATCATGCTCCCAAAACTGCCACATTATCTCATGTTCGACCTCACCCACCCAAGCAACCCGACAAGCCTTAGGAGAACTCCAAAATGGGTACACATGCATAACCAGAGGCGGCATCACCACAACCCTATGAGACGAATATCCTTTCAAGCGAGCAGAAGCTCCATCGAGTAGGCTATCCC